GGCCGCTAGTATATATATATTCTGGATTATTCCAGCCATGTTGAATGAAAAGCGGCTGTAAAACACTTCATAAGATATAAAAAAATGTCTCACATTACGGAAATTTTTGTGTTCTATTTAGGGAAAAAATACTTTTCTCAATTGCATAAGTGACCTAAAAAATGGGGACTACTGACGGATATTTTTTGTTACTCATTCTTAAGGTGGATAATGGCAAAAGGTCCAAGTAATATCAGTTTCTACCTGCTCGAAAAATAGCTGCACTCTTTGACTCAACAAAAGAAGACGAAAATAGACCATTAATGGTGCACCTTAATATTTCGGTTGTTTGTTACTACATACACAAGTACGTTGGTCGCGCAATTTTTTAATTGTTTTTGGCGCCTGATAATAAAGTTGAAGCCAAACTGGATAGCCGGGCTCCAATAATGCTACTAAATTCCAGATGTCTTAATCTGTAATTATACTGTCTAGTGACAAAAGTGATTCATAATTTTTTGTCATTATAAATTTATAAATTGTGCCAACAAGCTGTTGATTGTTGCTTGCTTCTGATGATTTTAATAATATATTTTATGTGATTAACGTTGATTTTGTGACGAAAAAGTAGTATGATATCTTATTAAAGTGTAGGCTATATCGTGTCGGTATAGGTACCCCTTTTTATTAAGTATTGTAAATTTAACATATAGAGAGAAGAAAAACAGCCTTTAATTACTGCTTTCAAAGGTAAGAGAATGGGGAATTTGAGGATTTTCCCCTTCGTTGTGAGTGTTGCAATTTTCAATCAAAAATGTGCGGTAGGTTTTAAACCTCATAATCATAAGCATTAAGCCTTAACGGAAACTTCCTAAATAATTTAAAAATAAAACGTGCCCCAGAAAACACTTTTTTTACTACACTTAGAAAAAACTGTTTTTTTTTGCAACTCTAGTGATGGCCAGGGGCGGTAAGCTGCGAGGGGCGGCTGCAAGAGCTTCAGGGTAAGCAAAAGCCATATCATAGCATTTGTTACTGACCTATATTTTGATGAGATTTATATAATTGGTCTGGGGCATCAAATTTCAAAAAATGTCCCCGAATCCTAGTTTATAAACATATTAAAACAAACATTAGGTACTATTGTTCCAAAGTCCTTTGAACAGAAATGCATTAATTCAAGAATAATTAAAATGAACTGAAAAGTAAAAAACAAGTTCGAAAAAGTCATAGTTATTAGTTATAGTGTTGTCTGATTTTTTCATATTTCATAATAAATAACTTTTGCTTATGAATGCAAAAGCTACCTACATTGATGAGAACTCATTGAATCGTTTTTCCATTTATTTATGTATCGAGTAAATAGTTTTATCCTCTCACCCCGAAACCGAGTTGGTCATGTTTACTGAACGTTTCTAGAGGCATTTTCTCCGAAGTACGATTTAGCTGTGAAAAGCGTCCCGGGCTAAGGAATAAAAGTACAGCATTCAAAAGAAATGTGATTAAGTTTTCTTGTGTGTGTGATGTGATAATCCTAGTGTTGCAGGTGTCAAAGGCTACAGTGACTGCTTACGATCAAGTGGCCCGTGTTTTGAATGATGTGAAAAGCTTAGATATTGGAAGGGCATGGTGAAAGCGGAATAATTTGATAACTCTAAATTTCATCACTTTGAGTAACGGTAGATTTATACTAAATATCATATTTATACGTAATGGGCTCGATTATGACATAATTTTCTTAATGTAAAACATAATTGGCTCTCCTTTTCATTTGATTTGACAACGACACGTACCAAATATATTCGGACAGTGTCACTTTTTAATGCTGTTTGTGAAAATTCTTACACCCTCAAATTATTGAAGCTCTCACTTTTTTTTTAACTGACTATATACTATAAGTATATAGTCAGTTTTAAAAAAGGTTTTCAAATATAATATTTTCTGTAGAGCATGATGAGTACATATCAGTGTCAAATTAGGTTTAAAGTATCATGCAAAAATCAGCTCGAGAATATATCTACCTAACTTGGCTGTTGCTTAACATGATGACGTAAAGCATGAAAAAAAACAAGTGTAAAACGTGGTTATGTGGTAGATCCTCAAAGCACAATTAAGCATAGGCATTATACAATAGTTCATATATGGTTGCAATACGCGTCATTCATGAAACAAAATATGTAGTAAGAAGACTAAATAGATTGTATCCCTTTAGTTCTATCGTTTATTTCTACTAATATGACTAAACGGAGAAAAATATCCGTAATTTCAACTAGTAGAACTGACCGGATAAAAAATTTCGTTATGTATTAATAAAAATTAACGGAGAAAAGAATATTAAAGGCAGAATAGTTCTACGATAAGTTCTACTCAGCACGGACAGCAGTAAAATGTAATAAATTTATCAGAATTTGGTGTTTTTTGGAGGAATGTCTAGGAACAACTAACTATGTGGAGAGATTATTATTTTAATGTTTGAGGCCTTCTTTACTGGAATGTAAAAAATAACTAAAATGTAATAACTCAGATTTACCGAGGTACCAGGGCAACATAACTCCAAAAGAGGTATTTGTCTATATTAGTGTTCGGTACTTATATGGGCCGTTTAGTCCAATTAATAGAATAACGGAAATTTTGTTCTCCGTTCAGTCCAACTAGCAGAACTGAATGGTAGAACTAAACGGATACAATCACTAAACACACGCCCAGAGAAGACTATACATAGGTGCGCCCAAAATATATTATTTCACAATTAACCAGCTTATTAAAGTTTCAAACTCATATAAAGCTTGTTAAATATAAACTGGTGTCCAAAGTTGCTGTAAGTAGAGTAACATTCATCTCATAGAGATAAAAAGATATAGCCTACTCTACATAACATACTATATCTTAACGATTGTGTTGGTGGTAAACCTAGGCTATAAGCCGATGTTGAATTGTGTCTATTTAAGGACGATACGTACTTACCTAGTCATATTTAGTCTACTCTCAATGATTGTAATTATGTATGTGAAAGAACGAATGATACCGACCTACTTATTGTAGCATACTAACAGTAACACGCTTCGTAGTAGGTAGTGTGAACAGGAGATTAAGTAATTTTATGGTTTGTTTGTGTTTCATGTCAAAACAGAGCTGAAGAATGAATGACTTTGTTTTTTCCACAGAATACGTTTTTCCAGCGTCAGCTGGCGAATGGGTGATTTATGCCTCTTCATATCCGATATCGACAAAAAAAATATTATTGTATCGAATGAAACTTATCTTGCATGCAGTAAGACTGGGTGGAAAATAACAAGGTGCACTTAGAAATAACTTTCCGGCGATAATTAAAAAATGTCTAGAGTGAATAAAATGCCTATCGAAGAAAATAGTAGTTATACCTGCAACGGGAGGAACACCAGTTCTCTTTGCCTATTTCCTCCATATTCGAGCTGCTCGGCCAAATATCGTTTATGGTTTTTATTTTGTTTGAATTCAATTACGTCAAAGCTGTCAAAAAATAATATTATTGTCAGTCCAACAGAAATCTCATGAGAATGAACTATTTGCTCAATTGGAAATGTAAATTAAGTTACCCAAAACGGCGTAAGCTATTCTGTATTTTCATGTGATTCGTTTTATAAATTACTTATGTGTTGTCATTACCGGACTAGCTGAACTTCCTACATTATTAATTAATACCTTTTTTGTTACAGTTTTTTAATTCTACCATAAATACATCACACATAACTGTAAAAAGTAAAATTTTAGAGTAAATATTAACGTCATTTATTTGCGACCGTAACTTTTGGAGTGAGGTAAAGCCACAGCGCCGAAGTAACGCAAACGTTACTTTTGAAAAAGTAATGTTAATGCGTCTTCCTTATCACTATTGCCAATTATTACTTCTGTAAAAGTAACGTTCTGGCAACGCTGGCAACATTATTTACAACAAATGAAGTTTCGGAGACAACGATAACACTGAATAAGCAACAAAGCCAATCTGTAAAATTCTATGATTTGCCGCGTAAAAGTTTTTGTGAAAACGATTATTTTACACACAGAGTCCTTCAAAAAAAGAGTGTAAGAAATGCCTGGAAATTTTTGCAGGATCAGAGTGGCTAGTACAGGTACACAGTAGTATTACACATAGCCTGGGTATTAGCCATAGAGTATACTGCACTTACATCTCAACTTCAATCGTAATTTATAAAATCAGGTAATTGAAGTCATTTGATAAAAACTATAAAAATATATTATTTCCACTATCTATCTCCACTAGTAGGGACACCTGGAGATTTTTTTCCAATTACCACTACCAGTTTGGATATATGGAACTATCTATTCCATATATCCCGACTGATCCGCATTGGTAGGGATACTTAATTGTATTTTTATTATATTTATCACTTCCAATAGGGATAAGTTTTTAAGAGTTTCTTTATGTTCATAACTAGGTGTTCCTAGGTGGTATAGATATGTCAGTAGGGATATATGGAACAGGGGTTATTTCTAGCCTTTGAAATGACACAATTCGTTTCTTCATTGCAATTGATGAGGATTACCATGATGTGCTGAAATTAATAACAATAACATTTCACACTCGCAAACTATTCAAATTCGATATTGGTTCGTGCTTAGGGTACAGAACGGATTCTAAGTGAATTGAAAAATTCAGCATAATAAAACGTTGGCGACTGGAATAGTTTGCGTGTGGGGTCAATAGAGAAGGGGAAAGCGTCACAATGACTCATGAATAGTAATATTTGCGAGGAGTTTATATCGTTTCTGTTATTCTTTTCATAAAAGAGTATCACAAGAACCAGTGGCGTGAGCGACCAGTTATGTTTAGGGGGTTTTATTTATTTGTGGTTATTGAAAATGGGGCATGGGTCTGCGACTCCTGGAATTTCGGAGAGACCGCGGCGCGTCGCCGCCGCAGGGCAGCGCTAATGTCACGCGGCGCCTCCGCTCGCGTCTCGCTGGCGGCTGGTGGCTGACGGCCGACCGAGCTTGGCTTGGCGCGCTCCATTCAACGTGTATCGCGCCCCGCCCGTTCATTGCCGATTTGACCGCAAGAGTGGATCGACGCACTCTTGCTAACGTGTCTTCCTTATCGCTCTTGCCAACTTTTTTCACTACATAAACAATTTTTTTAATAAAAAAGTCACAAGAGTTAAACACGAACACAGTTCAACGATACACCAATAGAGTAAATCGCGGTTCAAACAATTACCGACGACCGAAAAGTTTACTGCAAATTTCAAAGGCGGCGATTTGCGGAGCGCAACTCGCTTTCAGTTTAATTCACCTGTTCGGGATTGTTTTCTAAATTTTTTATAACAATTCTCAAGTTTTTTTTTATTATTACGTTGTGACGCTTTCGACGATTTTTATTAGACGTGGAGCGGGAAGGAAGCAAAAATGTCGAAAAAACATCTTCACAACCAAGCTGCTATACCGTTAGCCCCAGCAGTATTTAAGGTAAGAATATTTGTTTTTCTTTCTGAAGCGAATTATTCCATTTGTTCATGTGCATGTTTTGGTCTAAAAGTCTATAGGGTATTTTACTCGTAATCAAAAAAATATTAGATGCTCTGCGATGATTTAACATGAAAAAAAATGTATGGCCCACTAGTAAGGTATTTATTTAGTTTCAATCGTGAAAAGTTCACGTTCAGCGCATAGTTTGTAATGAAATTTATGTAGAATGCCTAACCGACGGACGTGTGCATTACAATAGGAAATTATGTTGAAATATTTTCTAGTGTAGGTATAAAATTTTGTATGTACAAGCTATTACAAATTTCTACATAGAACCTACTGTATTATTGTAGTGTATATTTAATTGCATCATGCGCGTTCGTAGGTAATCAAGAACTTTGCTGTGCGTTTGTGTCTGAACCCGCCTACGCTCGAGCTGCAACCAATGTTTCGCCTTGTATGATTGCAACTTCATTTCGTAGATTTATAATTAATAGTACTAATAGGTTCTTGCTCTACTACATTTGGTCGCTAGCCCGAATACGAGTGCCAATGGAATTCGGGTAAACGACTAAATGAAAGGAGTCCAGTACGCCCGTATTCGGATACAATTTACGTTTTGGTTACCCGACACCGTCTTCCCGTATTCCAGTGTAAATATTGCTTTGGGTGCCCGAATTCGTGTTATTTCTTTCGTGCACCCGAATACGGGCTAACGACCAAGTGTAATTGAGAAATTATAAAATCCTTTGCGTATGAGTTTCAGACACACTGAATAGAATTCAATAGATTTTTTTTATATTATAACGTCCCTAAATTTTTATTCCATAAAAATGAAGTATAAACTCAATATTAATATTTCTGCCCAATAATTTGTAAATATAATGGAGATGTTCAATATTTCACTGTGGGCTGGTATTGCCCCCCCCCTCCCCCCCAAGGTGAAAGTTATATGTATATAGATAAAAAAGTATATTTTTAAGAATGTCATGGGAAAAAAATATAATTTCAAATCCCCGTATTTAAACCAAAACCTTACCAAGCGCGAATCTGGCCTCGCTCTATTAGGGTTCCGTATTACGACAAAGGCAACATTGCTGTAAATCGCCGTTTTCAGCATTTTTTGTTTGAATGCCAGCATAATACCAAAATTTCTCATTCATAACTAGTTTCAATTTTGAGATAGACCCTGTAACAAAAATGGTCTAAAAATGACAACATATACGGCCCTCTATTTTTTTGTTAATGAAAATAAAAAAAAATATATATTAGTTTCTTACTCATCAAGCTCTAGAAAATAATGTTACACATGCTTGAAAAAAAATCGTCTCCCTTTCATGTTGTGTTTTTCTCCTTAAGAAAAATATTTTTTTATTTTAACTAAACACAAATTCAGCTTTGTGATGTAACTTATTCCATTTACAATCTAGAGACCCGTGACATAGGAATAGACAGACGACAAACGACAGAGCGTCAGCAATTGGGTTCTGTTTTTGCCCTTTGGGTACGAAACCCTAAAGTTAAAAAAGTAAAAAATCGTTATCCAAAGCTAAAATAAAAAAGTAACACGTATTTTGTATATTGCGCCTTTTTTTGCGAATTCTGGCATGAATCTCCAAACCCAAAACCAAACCTGACAACAATCTCTCATTTTTCCATTTGGTATACTATGACAAGGATACCTACACTATAGTCAAAATTTAAATCTAAGTTCAGAGAATCAAGCCAGAATCAGGTCCATTGTCTAGTTTAAATATTATTTTTTAATCATATAAATTTTTTCTGTGTCTTTAACATATTTTTATGAAAATACAAAATATTTTTAACATCGTTGACATTTATGAAACCTTGACACTGTTTAATATCAATTTAATAGAGAAAAAAAAGTAAAAAATTGTTTTATGAGAAAGGAGATTACTCAAATTGGCCCAAATGCACAAAAAATATTGACATACGCGGTAATTCTTGGCGTAATTTATAATTTAATTTACAGTCATTAGATTTCAACGGACACCTTTGTATAATATATTCACTTTAAAAAGGACTTTTCATTTTACCGGTTTGGAAAACATACGAATCATTTTTAATGGCTATGGGCGTAGTAACATTCAGCCAAAGACTGATCGAAGTTGTTTATATAACATAAAAACAAATCTATTTTGTAAAGGTCGATAAAATAAATCAATTTTTTTGTAGTATTAATATCCACAACTATATTATCATTTTCACTACATGCAAATGTGCTCAGACAATTATTATAGATGGTAGGCGACATCATAAAGTCTATTGCCATACATTTTTCGCCAAACACCTTCATAAACACATTATAATCTGTTTAGACTTTAAGGTATCTATCTATGGGCCTACGTTGCCTGACTATAAATAAATAAAATTATAAGGAGTGATACACTAAAAATCTAAAATATGGTTATATTAAAAACATAACAAAAATAATGAAGCTACTGAATATATGGGCTATAACCTAAGAGATTTAGGTTATATAAACCTAAATCTCTTAGCTTTCTTTGGTTAACGAGAGATTAAAAATTCTCTCTAATCTGTGGCTCATTCACAATTATCACACAGTTTCTGTCACAGAGTACTTTATTATAACCGGAAATGCATAGATGACACCTGATTTTAAAAGTTACTCTTAAGCATTAATTTTAAAAACAGGCAACTATCTGTTAATCTACATGCTCTATATACCTGAATCTAATCCATAATTTCGGTACTTGGCTTGATTTCCCTAGTTTACTATAAAACTTATTTGTTTTTTATTATTTTAATATGTTCAGTGTATATGGTTTATAGAAGTTTTCAGGGGTGTCCGTCAATAATATTCGTTTCTACAGTAATTTATATATAATTTCGAATCTAGGAAACAATTTTTCATGATTATTGGTCTTTAGGCCAAACATGTATGGAAGCTGAGCAATCTCCTTTTGGGGCTGCATCTGATCGTTTGATTACTCGTTGATATAATGATTGAAAAAAGAAGAATGTCTAGTCGTAAAAATAGCACGTGGAAGTTATTTTTACAGCCAAATGGTGCAATAAACAATAGCGACCGGTTAAAAAGGTTCTGGAGTCTTGCCTTAAATTTCTAAAAGAAACATTGATAAGTATTTGTGTGTTTGATAAGCAAGCACCAATAGATAGCTGTACGTATTTATGACCTCTTTGTCTCTTAAAAACTTATTATAATAACTTAAATAAGTTCCTTCGGATTTATTATACAGTGCGTTAAGTAACAAGTGATTCGAGAGTGTAATTTTGTATTTTTAAAGGCATTTATTAATGTTGGACACTGTCACAACAATCATCTAGCTTTAAACCCAGCTTAAATTGTACTATGGGTGCTAGACATCACAGACAAATACACATACATTACTGCATAAACATCCATGTGAGGTATGGTGGCCATTCACCATCCTGCCACTTGATCAAGTGGCTTCATTAGAGCAAACTCACCGTTTGTAGCGAGACGTTTTGGAAGGACATGCCACTTGATAGAAGGATTTTGGCTTGATCAAGCCTATTTGATCAAGCGGCATGGTGGTGAGTTGCCACCAGGAAAAAGCACGTGTTCATCACACAAAAATTTACCCCTTCCTACGGATTCGAGCTCGGGTCCGCTGGATTCACAGTTAAGATCACTAATCGCTGGTTCAAGTGTCATGAAATCTTGTCATGATCACAGGACCAAATCAAAAGGACTCATATTTTGAAGTCCTGATATTATTACTATTATTATAAAAAGAGCCGATATAAGTAAATTAAAGAAACATATTAATTTTTGAAAAGCTAATGGACTGTGTAGTCATAGTATGAACAATTTCCATTTTCAGGTGACGGTCATCTTTGTACTCGATCTCGCTAATCACATAGTTACATACCACTCAAGCTCCACTAGACAAGATTAGATTTTTCAATGTTAATACATTGCCAAATCTCCGTTTAGTTTTGATCTAAATAAAGAATATCTCAATATTCACGGGAACTTCAGAAGGGATTAGAATGCTTTATGAAATAGTTAAGTGGGTACAATAAGCTCTTTAATATATTCCAGTAAAGTAAACGACACACTGCAGTAATCATAAATGGATATAATTTTTCATTGTTTTTTAAAACAACCATTGGACAATGAAAAATAACATCTGCTAAAGTAAATTAAATGATTCTTGCCGTTCACTTGACTCAGTCTAAGGCACACGATATTTGTAAACTTTAAATACTTCTCATACTTAACTATTATTATTCTAATGAGCTGAATTACAATAGTTTAAACAATTGATCTATATTCATGAAATTAAAGGACATTATTATATATATGACGTCAGATGCATGTCATATACACAATGACATTCATCTATGATTCTTCTTATACCTGCATGCAGTCTCAGCCCGATCGGTTTAAAATTGACAAAGTTTCATACAAACTTTCATTCTCTATTTTATCCCCTTGGGGGTAGAATTGATCAAAATCCTTTCTTAGCGGATGCCTACGTTATAACATCTACCTGCATGCCAAATTTCAGCCCGATCCGACCAGTGGTTTGGGCTGCGCGTTGATAGATCACTATGTCAGTCAGTCACCTTTGAGTTTTATATAGATAGATTAGATAGTCAATAGATCGTCTTTCAAAATTGTAACTGCCCAAATGTTAGTCAAAAGTGACTTATCTTTTTTTTATTTAAACACGGAAACCAAAGCAGAGTTTGGCCGTGGATCCACGCTTCGTTGGCTTAAACTTTTTGGCAGTAGTATACGGGGAAAAGTGACCTTGTATGCTGTTCAATAATGCCTACACCCCAAAAGGAGAAGGCGTGAAGGGTAAGTTACGAGTTTATGTATTGTTCATATTCACGTAACTAATGAAAAGATTAGCACTCACCCCTCTTTAATCATGAGTCGATGGAATACGAAATTTCTCTTAGACTCTTACTTACTTGTAGAGAGATTACTATAAGAAATCAGAAAAAGAAAAATAAGAAAA